GGCGCGTCCTTTGTAATTTCATGACGTATCATAGGCGTGCGGTTATTTATTTAGAACGATAATAATAATGTTTTTATATCACAATAAATGGATTTTACTATCTTCTTATTGTTTTGATTTGGGATAAAAAATACTTATATTGGGAGTTTAATTTATGTTGACTGAAAGTTAAGAAATTGAAAAATTACAGAATTCCAACGTTTGACATAGGCAAATATTTACATAGCAGGTAGGTATATAAAAAGGTATATAAATACTTACATTATAGGTATTTATATATCATCCTCGCCTTCGGAGCTGTCGCTAGAGTCATCTTGTAGAGGAATTACAACGGGATTTACAGGAGGCAAAACACAATATTCATTTTCTTTTTCAATAATATGCCTAGAACACTGCTTCCATAGGTCTGTGGCAGCAATATGAGATACTGCATCTCTTATTGTGGCCAATAGCGATTCACTTAATTGAGGGGTCTGATTATGTTTTCTTACTTTTTTTTTTAAAGCAGCCCAGACCAACTCAATCGGGTTAAAAATGCAGTAATAGGGAGGTAGACGTAATACTGACGTAATACTTCATGGCCATTTTGCTGAAGCAGATTGTCAACAACATACTCTTTTTCAAAGTTTTGTCTTTTAATAAGATCCAATAATATGGCTTTGGTTGATTTTTGTGGTATCTCCATTCCTTTATCCTTCATAAAATCAATAATGTCTTGTTTTTTTGTGCCTGTATTCGGAATTTTGTTTTTCGGTCGGGAATGGTATGGCGCATTGTCCATAATAATCACTGGATTTGGGGAAATGTTTAGTATTAACTGCTGCTCTATCCACTTTTCAAATAAGTCGGAGGTCATGTCCTCATGATAGTCGGCACATGATTCTTTGATATTTTTGGCAGATAACAGCAAGGCATTAGGTATAAATCCATTTTCACTGCCAGCATGGAGAATAATGATTCGTTTTCCACGGTTGCATGGTGCATTTAAAATGCACTTGTTGCTGTCGTCAACCCAGCCGTAATGCACAACATCATGGGTATCACACCACGTTTCATCCAGGTAAATCAGATTTCTTTTCTGCTCTCTATAGATTTTAACTTTGTGCAAAAATTCTTGACGCAATTCAACGATTCGAGACGACTCCATAATCACCATTCTTTTATCTAATTTTTTGTATTGAAAACCACACAGTTTTACAATACAGTGCAGTGAGTCTAAGCATTTGTAATTATAAAAATCTTCAGGATAATCTTTAATTTATCCCGTATCATTTCCAACGTAGGCACCAAATTTTCTTTATAAAATCCGTATATTATACGACGACTATCTTCCTGAAAACCCACGTCTATTCTTTTTAATTTTTGCCCTATGCGTTTTCTGCGGAAGGAATGGTTGACTACATCTCCCCTTTTTATAACCCGATAAATGGTAGACCGATTTTTGTCAGGATACAAATTCTGTTTAAAATTTGATTTTGCGAGGAATCTGGATTTTCGTTTTTCAGACAATCATACATATTTAGGATTACTCTTTGGGTCTGTTCCTCTAAATCTTTATGAAAGAATTCTGCCTGCACAGGTTCATCAACCATCTCCTCGTGGCTTGGAGCATTTTCCCAAGGTCTCCAAAGAGCCATATTTAGGACACACAAGAACAATCAACACAACAATTAAATCAACAAGTAAACTGAGTATTCAAAAGTCAAAAACACACAAACTAATAAAATCTATGAAAAAACATGGACAGACTAAAGAAAACACGTTTATTCACCGCTACCCGGCACTGGCTAAACTGTTTCAATTTTCAGTAGCCACCTGCACTTGTTCAGAGCTCTGAAATACACGCTTTCTCATTGGCTATGTCCACGCATAGGCGTACTTTACTCCACGTGGACCGGTGAAACTGCCTTTGATCTTATACGGGGGATATTTGCTGCGAAATTTGGCGATTTTTGCAGCAACAGAGCGTGTTAAATATAGATATATAAAACGCACCCGGTATTTCACAGTGTTTCAAGTGACTTCAGATAAAGTATACTTTCTGATCGGTGAGAAAGATTCCTGGCGTTTTAGGTAGCAGGGTAAACTCTTCCTAAAATATTTTCTTTGGCGTAGGAAATGCTCCGTAGATGAACGAGTGGACGTAAGATAGAGTAGCATCAACTGTTGACATAAATATCGTTTTTATCCTCCAATTAGTTGAAAGTTAGTATTCCCCAAAAACTAACCGTTCCTCCGTTCTTTCTAATCTCCATGGTATATCTGCAAGATGCCATCGTCCAAACGCGTGTTGCATCTTCCTACGCCACTTATGAGGCTGAATAAGGACAAAACATGAACAACATTCAATTTTTGATATAAAACTTTTTTTAATGTCAGTGTATTTCAAAAGTTGAAGTTTTTTATAGCGATTTTTTTTTTCTGTATTGGCTATGATGCCAGTACTGCATGTACAGAATTTTAAGTGAAAATAGTAATTCACTCCAGAGATATTATTTTTTTCGATGTCGAATTTAATAATTAATTTCGTGTTATTTTTGATCTACCTCACGCTTTAGAAATACTGCCATGTTTTTCTGAATAACTATATAGCAGACTATTTCCAGTCTTCAGCTCATGGGGAAAAATAGTAGCTTTTAGCAGTGCCATGCCAATGCCTAAAAGCAAAACGGATTTCTGCAACTGCTTTCCAAGTATTTAATGTTTCTTATTTCCTCTTCATGATTTATGTGCTTAATTATAGACGTACATGCTTGTGGAATACCACAGATTGCTACCTTCTAGCCATAAGGATCTTCATCCATTGTGGTGTCATCACTAAATTCATTACTTCGGTATATTGTGTAAGTATGATACCTAAGTGTTTAAATCCAGCGAAATCTACTACTTACATCTGGGCTAGAATTATGCGACAAATTTTCAGCAGAAAAATATGTACACGGCATTAATAACTAAAATCCGTCCACTTAACATTGTAAATACAAATAGCGATTTGTTAGGAAAATAATTTGCCATCAAAATTGTCGATACCTGCTCGAAGGTGTCATCCAAATCAATCTTATCAAAAACTCCTAAAGCTGCAAAAAATTGTATCAGCTACATTTTCAGTTTTCGGTCAAACGAGGGAAACTTGATCAGTAAAAATATTGTATTGTAAAATAGTGTATTCTGTATTGTGTACCAATTCTTATGGATATAGAACATATGCAAGTGAGATGAAGCTTCTGTAGAAATCAAATTCTTGCTTTGATCTCACGGAATCACATTTTTCGAAGATATTTGCATCACTTAGTTCAACCGAGATGGACTAGATGTTCAAGTTTCAACGTATAATATATTTTCGTTTTCTGTAGACTGGTATCTTCAATATAAACGGAAGAACAATCCTCCCTGGTAGGGTTCAAAAATTTTGATTATCAGATTGCTCGCCCACTTAAATCATCTGAATGTTGTTAACCTCATATTCTGTAATGAAACAAGTGACATTTATTGGGGTTTCAATGTTTAATATGTATATAACTATTAGCATCGCTACTTAATTGGTAGTTTCTGCTATCCAAAGTTTGTTAAAAGCGTTCCACCTAACTTTCATTTTATTTATTTAGCATTTTTTTATCCATCTCCAAATATATTGGACTGATTTTTAATTTAATTAGTTTTGACTGGAATAGAAACTCATACAACACTAACCTTGATTTATGTAACAGTGTTTGCTGTTTAGAATACTGGTGTTTACTAACACGTGGTTGCGAACGTTAACGTTAAAGGACGAAGGCAGAATCTTAACTTGCTTATGAATATTCAAATGATATTCGTATTTTTATCACCCACTTTAGAAATAGGAGAGAAATATGTGGCAGCACTTGAAATGCCGAGAGGACAACACCTTTTAGCCTTTTCATGCCTGTCGGTTGTGCATCCTGGTGACAGCCAAGTATACAAGAAAATAGATACGAAATAATAATTAATTTGTAGATATTTTTAGCATGATGAATAAGAGTAAGAAAAGTGTAGTTTATTATATTCAACTATGACGCATGGCGCACTCATAGAATTTCCACCAAGAAATATGAAATTGATTTGTTCTATTTCCTCACAATGTATGTAACTATTTAAACGGGACTTGAATGTAGCTTGCTAAATTTCAAATATTTTGGGCTCCAACTTTTCCTACCCACGCTTTCATGTCAGCAAAAGCTTGTGAAAGAAAACTGAGTACAATAGTTTATGTAAGAAATAACAGTATGTAAATGCAAATGCTATAAACATGGTTTGTCTTCAGATACCACTACATATCGACGAGCCGCTCTCTTTCAAGTACCAAAAGTATAAGAAATAAGTGTCGTGTGTTTCAAGTTTCTTTTCCAAACAGATGCAACAAGCACCACTGGTGGCGCATGGGTGTGTGTACAACAAAAAAAGTTTGTGCTTCTTGAAGATAGTTTCGCGAGGTTTGTTTCAGCAGTGTGTCTATATATTTATTTTTGAGAAAATACGGATCAGTCGGAAACTTGAGTTGGTACTAAAAAGGCAATATAGATTGTATATTGAAAGCAAAAATAATCGAAGCGTGATCTCATCCATTACCTAGCTTATCGCGAACTACGGAGAACAAAAGGAAATATCATGTTGAGTATTGTAGATTAGATTGCATACTGAGACAATTATTACGATTGAAATGTGCGAATTCCTCCTTCAGTTTCACATACGTGTAAGGTACGAGATATAAAAAAGCTAATGATACGATTTAGAAACTTTTTGCAATTACGCCGATTGTTCGTTGGAAGAAATAAAAATTGTAAACAAACTAACGGAAGCCGTTTGCGGTAACACAGACAAGATAAGGCATAAATTTATATTAAAACTAGCCCAAGCCCGCGGCTCCGCTTGCGTAGGTGTAGTGTAAAGTTTAGGTTATAGATTTTTTTTATACTAAAACTACCACGAAAGCCTAAGGCCTAAACACCCATTGGGTATCGTGGGGCTATAGGGGGATACAGGGGAAAGAGGGAACGCCACACGGACTCTGGCGAAGGAACACGTGTGCATGCAACATGCACACATACTGGCTCTGCTTACGAGATCCGCCGGGTGGTACCTCCGCGTTCGACAGTCAGAAACCGTCTACCACCTACGGACAATCACAACATCCATAGCCAAGAGAAAAATTTTTCCTGGGACGGGATTCGAACCCGCACAACGTACGGCGACTGATCAGGAGACTAAAGAGTCTACTACTGCGGCCACCGCTGCTGCCTACCTAGATATCGCCTTAGTTTGAAGGAGATTATAATGTAATAGTTACTTTAGTAGTACATATTTTTTTAAACATTTTTAATGTCTCAATATACAAATGTGGATGTCTCTACAGTCTGTCAGCATCACATAAGAACCATAATATGAAGGGTCGTAGAAATTTGTATACTTACTAATTTATATGTACAGGAGGTTATAGGCATGATTTTATCCACGAACTCGATCGTCAAATTTGCCTATATTTATAGGGTGAAAACCCCCGAAAAACCGGAAAACTCTACCACTAACTATGATCAAAGTAAGTATTTCTATAACTTTCTTCCTTTCTGGCATAATAAGCTTTTGTTGGGAAACAGTATACCACTCTAAACAGTGGAAGCTGACCTTAATTAAACCTGTCCCTAAAATTTCAAATCCTACCCCAACATCTTATACCTATAAGTGTGATACCGATGCTTCCAGAAAAAATCACACACAAGTAAAACAAGCTATCAAACAAATGTAAATCAAGACGGTCACACTAAGAAAACGAATGTCAAAATGCAGAAAATGCACGCTATTTATATATCCTTACTCATTTCAGTCGGATCAGCGACTGAACGCTTCCGCGTCAAGCACCCTATGTCAATTCCAGTAAGCGATTTGAGCTGTAGCCTCAGAAATAGGCATTTCAAAGTTAATTTCCGGGATAAAGAGTAGCCTGTGTGCTATTCCAGACTACAATATACCTAAGTACCAAATTTCTTCAAGATCCGTTCAGCAAATTTTGGCGTGATTGTGTAACAAACATCCACATTGTCTCATTTATAATATTATAGTTTAAGACGTCATACTCAAAGTGTTTGCGAAATTTGAATGTAACCAACTGCCTACTTTTTGAAATAATACATAGGCTTTTATGGGCAACACGATGTTTTTTCTGTATTTTAACTTGTATAAGGAACAAAATTGAAGAGTTTGAAAAAGCATATGAAACTTCAGCATTAAAACGTTAGCCGATTTGCGAGAAATTTTACCGCCGACCTACCTTCTACTTTGACTTCTTTTTGTCTTTATTGTTAGATAAATATATGCTTTGTGACTATTTTCTAACCGTCTTTTGCTCTTGAATACCATTTCTCGTTTACATGAAAATTGTTTGGATAAACATCAACCATTTACATATCTGCCATTTAACAACCACAATTTGCATAATAAAGAACATCATCCTTGGCCGCTTTAGTAATTTCAGTTCATCAACTCACGATTTATACTCGTAGTATTTAATATTCAAATTTAATTTGGTCAGTGCTATTATTAGGAAAACGACTCTGTAAAACAAACTGCAATTAAGTTTCTAAAATTGAAACCATCTGAAATTGCCTGCGAATAGAAGATGGATAATGTTACGACTGGGGCTGTGCAAATTTAGTGATGGAAGATTTTCACTAACAGGGCATTATCGTGTCACGAAAGTACGTAATACAGGGTTTTCAAACTACATGCATTTCGAAATACACCTCGAAGATAATGAGAATTACACTGAATGCATTGACAAAGATATTCAGGAAACAAAATAGAAAAGAGGACTTAGTCTCTTCCATTTTGGTACCCAGCTATATAGGATAATTCCTCCCCTTCCCTAAAACGGACCCTTAGTCTCACCGGGTCTGAATTTTCTCCGTAGTCAGGCGCACATCGGCACCCAGCGTCTCATGTTATTTGGTTTTTACGATGATGTCTTTTAATAGGGGAAACGCAGATTCCTTATTATTTCTATAGATAGATATTAACAAATAAACCTGTAGACCTATATGTTTCCTTAAATGACATAAGCCTAGGTTCGTCTATCTCGAGAGATTGGTTCGTTTAAATATTTATACGGAATTCTGTAGAGGCAAGTTTAGATATTTGCAAATGAACATTTATTCCTATATATTTCCTTGAGTGGCATGATCTTAGGTTAGTCCTTCTCATGAGATGGATTCATTTAGATATTTGATTCAAATTCAACTGGATAAACAAGTTTGTGGTTTCAGTTGCGCAAATTTTTTAAATTAAAGTTCAAAAAGGATAGCGAAAAAACGGTACGTATTTTTCAAATCAGAATACGATAGGTTACGATATTATTTTTTTTAATAATGATTTTCAACTATAAATTTATAAAAGTGTAAAGTAAATGATGCTTAGCATTAGAAAGTGTATTTAACAGTCTTAACTAATTATCATAGTTTTCAAATAAATAGCAAAATGAAGGTTCAACTTTGGGCATTTTTCTGCGATAAAGATACTGACGAATCTGCTACGAAATGAGCTGATCCTCCCCTACCATAGAACTGCCTCCAAACTAGGTCTGTAAATTACGTGATGGTACTGGCAACGTATCGTTCTATCTAGCAACACTGGAAGCACCGGACTTGGAGGGGAGACAGGGGAACATGTGATCCACCTTCGGTACGAATTTGAACTCGTTCGAGTCATTTGGTTGTCGCATCGATTTTTTTGTGTGCTCTCAGGTTTTGCTTCAGACTCGGGCTCAGTGCAACGGAATCTCTTGCTAAACTTCAGCAGACCTACGGAGGTAGTGTTTTGTCAACAGCCCAAGTTTTTCGGTGGTTTAAGGCGTTTTCAGATGGGAGAGAGTCGATTGAAGATGAGCCACTAAGCGGAACGCCTTCATCTTCAAGAACCAATGAAAATATCGACAGAATCCGGGATATTGCGCGTTCAGATCGTCGGTTGACAATCAGAATGACCGGGAAAAGTTAAATTTGACTCACACCGCCGTTCATCAGATCAAGAGAAACTGGATGTCGTTTCACGATAATCCTCCTTGTCACACAGCAATGTTATAAACGAGCTTTTAGCCAGTAAAGACATCCCTGGGGTTATTTTCAGGCTAACAATATAAAGAATTTAAAAAAAATCACTCATCACTTAATTTCGGTCCTCGTAAGTCCATATGAACTTTGAAGAGCGGGTCTGTCGAGCAGGCACATCGCGCGACGGCATCATGGAAGAGAGCTCCGAGAAGCAAAGCTCGTTAGTGTAGCGGCAGAAAAGAGCTAGATCGACGATGGTCCGCCGGTGCGAAAGAGTTCCGAGACTGTCTGTTAGAGAAGAGTCATCGATCAGTCGGACCGCCCTCCTTTGGACAGCATCGATCATGGATAATGTAGTCGGGGCGGCAGCACCCCAAACGTGTGAACAATACTCGAGGCTAGGCCTTATCTAGGCCTTGTATAGATTGAGAAGGTCATGCGGAGAAAAGTACTTCTTAGCCCTAAACAAATAGTCTAGCTTTTTCCCAGCAGCTGCAGCGATTGACGAAGTGTGCGTGCTAGATCAGGTCCTCGATGAGCTGGACTCCGACCAGCTGAAATGAATGGTTCTTTGGCAGGACTCGGCCATCCATCGAAGCCGGATGAGCGCTAGGACGCTTTTTGTTGGTCAAAGTACAGTACTTTGTTTTGGAAGCATTGAACTGTACAAGATTGTTGCGTCCCCAAGCAGTGATAGCCTCCAGGTCTCTTGTCAGAGAGGATGTCGTCGCTAGCCTTCTTTTTTCCAGCTCAGCGGCAGAGATCGGCTTGTCACTCTGAATTCCTGCATGTAGAGTGCTGTCATCAGCGAAGCTGTGGATTGGGTTGTTCGTGCAGGAAAGGAGGTCGTTAATATGTAAGAGAAACAGTGTTGGAGCCAAGACTGAACCCTGGGGAACACCCGCTTTGACGTTGTGGGATGAAGAGGAGAACCCGTGAATGTTACCTCTCGCTTAGTGAAGAGAACCCTTTGAATTGACCGCACTTGGGCATTGGGGGGGGGGGGGGGGGGGACCATGGCGGAGTTGGCAGCAAAGATCTTAGCTTAGCCTTGGTTTATGAGTCGAATACAATCGTTCCATCCTGACACGTAAGTGGTGGGAGGCTACTGTGTGAGAAGTTTTTTCAATAATCTGCTTGGCCAGCATCCAGAAAGACCGACTGCCATTGCACTGCGACATAACCCTGTGCCTAACTTTTGTATCGTGCGCTGGCTTTTGGCATTGCGAACCGCTTCGTTATATTTGTATCTGGACTCGACGTCGGCTTGTCTGTTCTCTACAGTGGGGTTTTGTAAGAAGGTTCTGTGTGCCTTGATCTTATGCTGGCGAGCAGTGACACACGATTTGTTAAACCAGCCGTTGGACCCTGGTTTAGGCACTTTCACTGTGTGAGGGATGTATTCCTCCATTCCGACATGCATAATTTCGGTTATCGAAGAACAGACAGCCGATGCATCCGCGTTAGTGAAACAGACACCTCTCCAAGGAAAGGTAGAGGAGAAGTCTCTGAGCCCCTCCCAGTCGGCATGTCCATAATGCCAAGTTTTGCTGCCTGTACGAGTGTCTGCTGTCACAGCGGGTTCTGACCGAAACCTAACCTCCACAACACCGTAGTCTGAGTTACCCAGGGGGGACAGGACAGCAGTGCTGTAAGGGACAGGATGCGTGGTCAGAAAGAGATCCAGCAGACTACTGGCATGTGACGAGACGCGGGGGAAAAAAATAGGGCTCGTCACCAGCTGGGTCAGCCCTTGAGTAAGAGCGAACGCTTCGACTGCACGACCTGCTGCATCGGTCTTGTTTGAGCCCAACCAAGGCTCTCATTATGGACATTGAAATCACCGAGAAAAACTACCTCTGAAGCGGGGTGATTGATGTTCAGGAAGTCGTTCTTGCCGGCGAGGTATTCCAGTAGGTCATCCCAGTTATGGTCCGAGGGAGAGAAATAAAGGCAGCAAATAAATTTGGGCGATGTTTTGGAGTTGAGACGAAGCTAAAGAATGTCCTTCCAGTTGGATTCCAAAGAAACATCTCTGGAGCCGGAAAGACTGCTGCGGGCAAAAGCCACAACTTCCCCGTTCTTTCTCAGATTGGAGTGCACCTCGTAGTTTGGGAAGTTAAGATGGTTAATCGGTGCAGACTCTGAGATTTTTGTCTCCGCCAAGAAAAGCACGGCGGGACGATTGGATTGCAGGTAGTG